GCTGGGAATTGAACTCAGGACCTCTGGAAGAGCAGTCAGTGCTCTTAACCTCTGAGCCATCTCTCCAGCCCTAGTGAGAAATCTTAATTGGTGCAAAAGAGTTTAAACAGAAAATCGGAGCCTTGAAGCAAGTTAGCATGAAAGGCTGATTCCTACATTGCCACGTAAGTATTTCTCAAGTACATACAAACAGGAGTGGTCCCAAGCTTCACGCTCTCTCCTCCTAGGGTGAACAGTGACAAAGAAATAAAGTCCAACCCAGGAAGACTTCATGGAGCAGACAGCCAGATACTGCTTCTTCGAAGATTGCTAGAACACAGAGAAATGGTGGCTGAGGAACGTGCTGTTCTAGATGGGATGCCTCTGTGATTATGGGGGTGTGGGCAGGAAATTATCCCATTTCAACCTCTAGCTATACCCTCTGGTGGTTCTCATGGTGACCCTATGGAGTGGGGCAAGAGATAGGTACCCAAGAAGAGAAAGAGATTAGCTCTGGCAGAGGTCACAGGAAACCACCAGATCTGGGGAGAAGAGGTGGCGCTGGGTGGGAAGGATGAAGGTATTGTATGAGGGACTGACAAGGGCACTAAGTTTTTGAAACAAGTCTCTGAAGTTACATCACCCACACTGTGCATGCTTGTTATAGTGTTTTTAATTCATGTTAGCTTGTCTAACCTCAGAAGAAGATGTGAATTAGAAGGTAAAGGGGGGCTGGAGAGATGACTCAGTGGTTAAGAGCACTGACTATTCTTCCAGAAGATCCAGACTCAATTCCCGCCATCCACATGGCAGCTAAGAACTGTCTGTAACTCCAAGATTTGACCCCCTCACACAGACCTACATGCAGACAAAACAACAATGTACATAAAATAAAAATAAATTATTTTTAAAGAAAAAAAAGTAAAGAGTTCTTAGAGTTGCTATTCTCGTCTCCTCTAGAGAGTCTGCTCATAGAGGAATAGAGTCGTTTTAAATAATATAACTCTTAGTATCTCTTGCTGATGCAGGAAATCTGCCTTACCTACAATTAAAAAAAAAATGTTTCTCTGTTCTCGGGCGTCTGTGGTGGACTGGTTCACACAAGCTTGTGAATGCCATGTGGGACTACTGTGAGTCATCACTATGGATCCTGTTGATGGTCCTTGCCTCCCTCTTCCAGAAAGTCACTTGCAGAGGATTCTCCATGATCACAGAGCCCACCCAGAGCCTGTAGACCAAAAGCTGGAACTCATGCCCTGTGTTATATACAACCTTTGGAGGCACCAAAGAGGCCCTGAGTTCTTCTTGGTCCTCCTGAATTCTAAAACCATCCAAGTGGAAACAGAATTAAGGATAGCAGCTTGGTGTCACCTAGGCATCCAAACCTGGCCTACACTCAGACACATGTCGTGCGAACAATTCTGCAGTCACCATTCTTTGGGCACAGACATGCTGCACTGGGGCTGGGATAAGGCCAAAGAGAGTGAAAAGAAAACTGGAGATGTAGCTCAGTGATAGAATGCTTTGCAAGGCCCTGGGTTCAATCCCCAGGACCATCACAAAACTGAGTTTCTTAAATTGTTATTGTTGCCTCTCAAGTGGGTAGATTTCTGTGTAAAATAAGCAGATCCGTGTGCCTCCGCGTGTATGCACGTGTATGTATACGCATGAGTACGTGGGGGCGGGGTGCAACTGTGTTCATGAGAAGGCATGCACATGCACAAGTATGTGTGTGTGTTCCGTGCATTAAAGCAATGGACACAACACTCCCACATACCTCTTTTCCCTGGGGAATTGTTTCAACATAGAAGCTGTTCCTAAACAACCATTGCAGACTAGGAAGTCTGGAACAGATCATATGGCCCAGGCTCCTACCTCCGTGAAGTAAAGTTATTTTGTAAATCATATTTTATTAATAAGGACCACCCTGTGGTGGGAGCTGTTCCTTTTGACCATGCTGACCTTCCCAACCCAAATGTTTCTCTTTGATGAAACATTAAACAATAGAATGTGCAAACATGAAAGTAGCTATGAGCAATCTGAAGATTAGTTTCCTCTGGTTGGGGTCCTGACATATCATCTTATGTGTGATGCCTACTGTCCTGCTGAATGATGACTAATGGAGTTAATGGTGGAGGTGGATGGTCCTTAGGTCAGCTCTCAGCCATACCAGTTCTGTAGGCTGGGCCCTCTCTGGCAACTACCAAATCACACATGCCTGCACAGAACATATGCCCACCCTCCCAGCTGATTCTGCAACTTTGCCCCCTCCACCCCAGCCACTGGCTCTCTGATGACCACTGGAAACTAATGCCCACCCCATCTCTGCTTTGAGTTTCCTACTGTCTTATCTTTCTGCCTCACTCTGCCTTCTGTCTGCCCATGATTGACCTCTGTGCTCTTTTTGGTCTTTGCCGTTGTCTCATCCAGGTTCCAGACTCTCTTTTCTCTTCGCTATTCCCATTTTTATGCCTCATGGGGTAGCACAATATGACACCAGTGAGTTTCACCATTGGGTACTTAAGACAGACAGACATTCCCTCCATGTTAAAAGCAGGAGGCCAGCTTGAGACTATTCACATGGTTTTCCTTTCCCTGTCTCTACAACTACAGAAATAATTGGGTGGATATTCTTTCTACAATTGTTCGTTAGCAGACCTTCAGTACATAAAAGTTATGTATGAGCAAAAGAATGACTACATTCTAGCTTCCCAACCCCCCAGTAATGGTAAGGAGAGACAGACAAACAGAGACCGAGACTATTAGCTTTTAAAAAAATCACAATTTTTTTTTTAAATCTCTAGGCCATTGCATTTTATAAGCCTATTGTGGATGTGTCAAAACTATACTTGCCACTCCACAGAACTGGAATGTGTAGGGATGGGAGGAATCAAGAGCTAAAATGGACTTCCAAGATTAAATGTGTCTCATCCGCAAATAGACTAGTTCTCTGTATTAATGCTGTGACACATAGCTACAGGTGGGCTGACTTTAAGCACCTAGGACTCACCATCCTCAGGCCTATAGACATTTGACACAGATCCCAGTAGGCTAAATCTAGGTGTTGGCTCACAGCATTCTTTCTGGAGGCTGTAGGGAGAATCCATTTCCTGCCTCTGCGCATGCCCAGAGGCTATCACATTCCTAGCCTTTTTCCCTCCTTCCTCCAAAGCCAGCATCCGGGCTCCTTGTCCCCTTTCTCCTATAGTCCTAGATCCCTGTGAGCTCAAGCAGAAAGCCTTCTCTGTTTTTAAGCCCCATGTGATGAGATTGAGCACATCTTGATATACCAGAGTAACCGTCCCTTTTCCGCACCCACCCTTGAATCACATCTGTAAACTAACTTTGTAAGATGCAAGTATGAAAGATAACCTATTGTCAGGTTCTGGAAATTGGAGAGTGAGGTGTGGACATCTGTGGGGGCGGGGGAGGGGGGAACTGTTCTGCCTATGACAGCAAGTCCCTGAGTTCTATAAGCAGTAAAAGAGAATAAATGAACAAAATTAGGTAGGAAGGAGAGCAGCAGAATGCCTCAACACACATTTACATGCCGGCTCTGGAGAGGCAATGCGACAGGCCTGTAATGCTACCCATCTCGTGTAAAGGTAGACACATGTCACAGTTTGTACGAGTGTCTGCCCTTTAGTGAATATGTTGAGTGATAAAATGTATGGTTGGCAAAACACATGTATAGGAGTAATTAACTTGGAAGTTTACTGAATTACACTTACCAACTGTGGCCCTGAGGACAGCCTAGGGAGCAAGCAGGAAAGCGTGCTCTCACTAGTTGGAATGAGGAGGAGATTTAGCTTAACTGAATCAAAACTGCGGTGAGATGCGCATGCGAGAAGTAAGGTAGCTCCGTTCTCTGATTCCGTTTGCCAGTGTTCTTGTCTGTGTGGGGCGTGAAACCGTCCATCAGAGACCTCTACAAAGCCCCTCAAGGACAATTGCTTCTGCTATTTGCCCCAAGAGTAAGGGAGCCCTTTGAGACAGTTGCCCTCCAATCCCAGTACCTTCGCTGCTATCGGAGATGAGGAAATGTATGCATACTGCAAGCCAAGATGGGGTGTCATCTCCAGATACAGTCAACACCACCCTCTCCTCAGGAGCTGGAGTTTGGCAGCTTTCCAAGCTGTCCGTGACCAGCCTCCTCTGCCAGACTTGGTGATGAGATCACCATCAGAGTGCCACCAATGCAGAAGGGCCTGCTGTTCTGGCATGCTCCCAGGTCGACTACTGCCCTCCTCTCTCAGGAGAGTGCAAACACGGGACACCCTGTCACCCTGTAAGGTCCGCCCATCACTGAGCGAGACCCTGACTCTTCCTCCTTTGTGTGTGGCTTCATTTTTCTGTCATGCATCTTTGCCTGGATAAAAGAGATGGGGGGGTGCGGTCCTCAGATTTGATTTCTCGGTGGGAACTGTTTGCTTTGGAAGCCACCTACGCCAATGCTAATTGAGAACAGAGCTCAGAATGAGGGCCTGAGAACGGCACTGGATGAACTTTTTGGTGGGCTGATTTCTGTTCATCTTGTCAGAACTGGGCTGTGAGTACATGCCATAATAGCAGGATCCACTGTTTCCCAAAGGCTGTGCACAGCAGCAGGTTTTCCCTTTGACTTGCTACCTAGCACAAATTAGTTATTTACTTCTAAGAGTTAAGCATATAAAGTCTTCATTAAGAAAGCTCCAAGTCAAACCTGGCCCCCACGGGCCAGCAATTTAGAGTCTGCAACTTTCCAAGCAGTCTGTATCCTCCAGGTCGAAATTTGATGGGCTTCTATTAGAGAGATTACAGTAAAAAATAACAATCAGCTCTCAGATGATCCTGTGTGGAGGGGAAGGGTGGGGAGGAGTAGATTTGGCTGAGGACAAGCCCAGACTTTCGTCACCGGGACAGACCCAAGTGTTAACACAAAGGGAAGACAGGAGCATCCTGCACAGCGCATTTCGGCCACAGATAATATGGCCTGTGCTCTGGCCCAGCCCATGCTCTGACCTCCAGGCCAGGTCCCCTACCTCAGCCACTCGTGCTCTGACCAGCTGCGGACATGCTTAGCGGATCCGGGTCCCAGGGAAGGCGCTGCCTGGCCACGCTCTCTCAGTGAGTTCTGCACTCTGCTTCTTCAGCTTCTCTTCTCTTTCTTTTTTTTATTTTTTTCCTCCAACAAAAGAATTTTTTTTTTTTAAATTGTGGGAGTGGGGAAAAGAGAGACCGAGGAGAGAGAAGGAGAGGAAGGCGGGGAGTGTGTAAAAACTTCGTAATTTCAACTGCTGCGGGAGTGGTTTGGAGTCACTGGTTTTCTGGTTTTCTTCATTTCCATGTTCATGGTGCCTTAGCCGGGGTTTTTACCTAGGACATGGGTTTCTCTCTTCCAAACCCAGGCCACAGGGCATTGTGCTGCTAAAGATCTGCTGTTAATTTAGACCTGAGCCCTCCACCTCAGAGTCATCATTTACAGAACTCAGAGATTTCCCTAAGCCGGGGTTGCCCAATCCCTAAAGTAAACAGCCCAGAGCCCCCAGCACACTGACCATCTGACTGGGCCAGAACAAGCCCCAGAGCATATGCTATTGATCAGGGGACTGTTCGGATAACAGGGGGCTCGGAGCCTTTAGGATTATGAAATCCTGGAATGTGAAAGTGAGAAGGGGCCTCTGGGATCCTTCGGGGTGATGCTGCCTTTCTACAGACAAGGAGCCCAGAGAGAGAACTCAGCTTACCCAAGCCAGGCCCTTTGCACACTGCCTTCTGTGAGGTTTGAAAACCCTACCGGGTCTTGGGAAGAGGGAGTGTGGAAGAGTAAGGGCACCCAATGGCCTTGCGATGAGTTTTCCCTATTTCTGAGAGTTTGGGCCCCATTCAGGAGCACGGTCACCGTTCCAGTTGTCCCAGAGTTTGCAACAGTTGGTCAGATAAATAGAAGAGCTTGGTGGGGTCCTTAAAAATGAGACCCCCGATACACCCACAGTTTTGCAGGTTTCTTGGTTAACCAGTTTTTGTAAATTGGTCACTCAAATGGAAGAGTTCAGAGGGACCTGGGAGGTTGTCTCTATAGTTCAGTGCTTGTTAAACTTAAAAAAAAAAAAAAAGAATCTTTTAAAGAGTCCTATTATGTAACAATGGTGTTCTGGCAAAGTGAGTGTGATCTAAAGTCCTGAATCCCCATTACACTGTCCCGTCACAGCCCATTGGGCATCTCTACCCCACTCTCCTTCCTGCCTCCTACCCAGGTCCAAGCATCTCTCTTAAAGCTTCCTTGGTATCCTAGGAGTCCCTAGAAAGGCTCAGGAACCACCAATCCTTCCCGATGCCTTGATTACAGATGACGAACCAAAGGCACATGGAGGTGGAGGCCTCGTCCAGCCCCCACAGCTGGTAGGCAGGCAGCAGAGTCTGGGGTGCTATGGGAAGGCTTCCTCCCTCCTTCCCCTGCCCCACCACTCTCCCTTTCACACCTGGTCTGCCCCTCACCCCTCCAGCATGCCTGTGGTTCTAGCAATTTACTTTCTCCATGCTTCTCTCTCTTCTACTCTGTCACTTCCTGACTTCCTGGTCTTGCACCCGGATGATGGAGATTTCCGTCCATCTGGTCCGTGGCCTCGCTCTCCTCTGCCCGTCCAGGCCCCATCCTAGCCCATCTTCATCGGGGAGGCTGCTGGAGTCCACTTTCCCTAACACAGCGAAGTTTTCCTTCTCATTGGGAGCGCTCCTGCTCCAGCCAAAGTAGATTGCTTGTTGCCTCCCAAACCGGTGCTTGCCTGCTGCCCCTGTCTCGCCACACATTTGCTGCCGCCCCCACTAAGCATCCCTCCTTCCTCTGTTCTCTCCACTCTAACAACCCATGTGCATCCTTCTGTTGTTAGCCTGGTATCCAAGGCAGTGGACAACGCGTCAGTCTTCTGATAGTAGTTCATTTGATGGTAGGAGCTATTTTGAATCTCCAGCACCCAACCCAGGATGGTGCTAATACTGATTTACACACACACACACACACACACACACACACACACACACACACACACATCACACACACACATATACACACATACACACACACATACACACTACACTACACACCACACACCACACACACACATACACACACCACATACACACACACATACCACACATATACACACCACACACACACCACACCACACACACACATACACACACCACATACACACACACACACACACACACACACACACACACACACACACACACACACTGATATGGATTCATAGACAAACATATCCTTTAAGTTTTCCATTATGGAAAAAATCCAACTACTCCATTGTTTATTTCCATCATTTGAATGTGTATAAGGCCTCCGGACATTTTGCTTTGTAAGAATTATTAGACTAAATGCTAAAGCAGGTGCTCAACCCAATGAACTAGAAATTCCTGTCCATTTCTATCAGCTCATTTATCTCAGTTCCATCACCTACGGTGCAAGATTAGCACTGATCTTTTTTTTTAAGAGGTGCATTAAAATTCCTGAAGACCAGAACTACGCAAGGGCCGTGGTATTTTCTGGAGCAGGTGTGAATGGTTATCCAGTTCTACAGATTCTGCGCTGTGTTGAAATTGTCCCCAGGAGTTTAGTGACACATTCTGTCCCTTTCAGCTCCGTCTCTCCCCTGCTGCTTCTGATCATGTTCCCAAAGTTCATGAAATGTACTTCAGTCAAGAGTGGGGGTTTCCCAGAAGTATTGATTTTAGTCCAATAAGAGTTGTATTTTGTATTGACTTTCAGGATGAAAGTTCAAAGTTTGGTTTTTGTGTGACAAATGGACAGACGGACTTAAAGCCGTGGAACCAGGGACATGGGGAAATGGTGTAGTCCATCCTACTGCTGTCTGAGGGAAATAATCTGAAAACATTGCAGTGAATTAGTAAATGACTGGCATCATTTTATAAGACTTTTTAGAAATGACAGAACAAATTGTACCCAGAAATGTCATTGTTAATAGTACTGGGGGGCTGGGGAGATGGCTCCATGGTTAAAAACACTGGCCGCTCTTTCAGAGGACCTTGGTTTGATTCCCAGCACCCACATGCTAGCTCACAGTGGTCTGTAGCTCCAGTTCCACGGGATTCAAAGTCCTCGCCTCTCCTGGGCACCAGGATGCACATGGTACACAGACCTGCTTGCAGGTAAAACACCTGTATACATTAAAAAATTAAATAAAGAAATAAAAATGGATAAGAACGCCTGTTTCACCCACTGTCTCCTGGGAATATAACATTTTGATTTCCCAATAGTATGGCTTTCCTAATAATAACAGAAACTATCTCTTTCCTCTCTTATAAACGATATTACAGTACATTGAAAATAATTTCCAATTTCTGGGCATTGTCATCTTCGGCGTCATTCTTAGACATGCTGTAAAACAGTGATGCCCACCCCCAAATGTGCCCTCCACCACTCTGGATTGCTGTTGTTGCCTTTTCTAGTAGCTGGCAGTCCACTTGCTTCTCATGTCCCAATCTGCTCTGCAGAAGCCCGGGGTATCAGGAAAACCATAGGTTAAAGAGACCAGAGTGAAAGTTAACAGTCCAATAGCAATGGCCTTTTCTCTTACAAAGAAAGGGCATGTACAATTTGTGACGGTTGCTTTGTATTACAAACTAGATTTTAATACATATATGTATGTGTGTGTATCATATCACATATATCATATATATCACATGAGATATATATATATATATATATATATATATATATCTTATCTTTAAAAAAACTTTTATTTGGAGTGTGTGTGTGTGAGAGAGAGAGAGAGAGAGTGATATGATGTGTGTAAGTCCAGGTGTATACATGGAGGTCAGAGGATAACCTTCGGGAGTCAGTTCTCTCCTTCCACCTCGCTGAGGCGGGTCTCTCTTGTTTCCACTGCCCTGTGCACTCCAGGTTAGCTGGCCTGTGAACTTCCGGCCTATTCTGTCTCTAAGTCTCATCTTGCCATAGGAGTGCCAGGATCACAGATGTGAGTCACCACAACTAACCTTCTGTGGGCTCCAGGGACCAAACTCGGGTCCTCTGGCTTGTGTGACAGGCACTTTTGCCAGCTGGGGCCATCTCTCCATCCCCAAAGATAGGTTTTAAGTGGTTGAGTTTTCCGGGCCTCTTCTTTGGTTCAGAGTAAAATGACACTATTTATGAAGCATAGGAAAGAAGAGCATAAAATGGATAATTTTGCTTTGATCCCTCCATCAAGACTGTTGCTGAAATGTGGTTGTGGGGTTCCTGCAAGCCACTATGGAGACACTCTTGATTCTCTGCATGTGTCTGCCCTGGGAATGGCCAGTTCACCGTCTAGGTGCCTGGTTGCCACAGTGGATGCTGTTTCTGTAGATCTTTTTTTCTTTTCCCTGCCTTGGTTGGGGGATAAGCTGTCGCTTTATGTTATGCTGCTCATCACATCCCTCCTCACCCATCAAAAGTGGTTCTGCAGAGGCTGATGCAGCAGGCCGAGAGGGTCCAGGAGCAGAGTTCAGCTCCCCTCAGGATGCTAACTTCCTCACAGGGTGGTGAGGTTGCTTTTCCCCCGGGTACATAGCTGCACTTCTCTGCCCTAGTATCTGCCCACGTATCTTGGGCTGAAAAGGTGACTTTGGACTCTCTGGCCTGAGATCCCAGCTACCATGTGGAATGGTGTTTGAAGCTCTAGAACACAATTTACAAACGAAAGTTTTGGAAAGGCCTTCCTATAAATGTAGCACTGGCTGGATTTATTTCCAACCCTAATTGAATTTTTAAGAGGAGTCTTTTAAAATCTGTAAACCTCCCTCATTTCCATCTATTCATTCAACAAATATTCACTGAGAATTTCCTGTACTAGTTAGTCTTGTTGTATCAGGCACCAAGAACATTAAAAAGAACAAAGCACAGGCTATGTCCCCAAGCTTATGTCATTTTGTAACCTCCCAAACACTTCATAAGTGTTTGTTTAGTCATCCCCCTACATCTACCATCAAATACACACACACACACACACACACACACACACACACACACACACACACACACACACGTTCATTTAGGGCTGTGGCTTCAGTTAGAGTAGCACAGGTCCATAGTCAGCATTGTCTACACCAAGGGTCTCAGCTTTCTTT